TAACTGTAACCTTGATTGTGTGACCCTTTTAATGAATTCTTATGAATGTATAAATGTTCATTTACTTATCTGAATTATTAAGTCAGTCTTAAAAAAAATAATACACAAGCTTAGACATAAATTAATTGCACGTACATTAAAATATATTTACTTTAAGTGGAGACAGATATATGAGTATCTCTTAGGCCATTGCACATAATATACTAACAACATTAGAAACGCACCACACTAAAATGCACTGACGATGCTCAGATATCATGGGTACATTTCAGTCTGACGGGGATATTTCGTATTATATGGGTGGTGCGTTTCTAATGTTGTTCAGTATATGTACTAATCCGTAATAATCTGAATACATATTACACTGTAATTATAATGCTTTGATCTTAAAACATGTAAAAAATAACATATTTTAACGATTTTCATCAAGTTCACAGTGACATGTCTCTACCTCTTTGATTATATGTGTGTGTGCTACATCAAAGGAGGTATGAGTGACCAGACAGCTTGTCAAAATTGACAGATTACAAGTTAAGAAAGATTTAGATCACCATTCCATACAATGTCTTAACATAAGGAAACTAGGCATAAACATCAGTCTACAAATAGGATAAATAAATAAGCAACAGATCACACAGTGCACTAACATGGTGCACCTGCCGCCCGTGACGACTCTGGTGCACTTGGGTCAAAACTTGCATCTTCAGACATGTTGAGCAACTGACAATCAATGGTACCAATATTAATTCCACAATTTTTTTTGTGAGTTTCTCATCTCCCGACTGCCCCACATTACTGTCAGTAAAGTTATTTTGTAAATGTTATTATCTGCATAATTCAATGAATGAATATAGACTGGGCCTGGAAAAAACATTTCCCGTTACATGTAAAAACTGTGCAGTTATTTATGGAAGGGGCATTTAAAGAAGGGAAATATCTCTGCCTAATAATCTATTTCACCCTCCACACTTTTTGTCTCATAAGGAGATATTGTCTGACTGACTGACTGACTGAGTTTAGTTTTACACCGCTTTTAGCAATATTCCAGCAACATCACGGCGGGGGACACCAGAAATGGGCTTCACACAATGTACCCATGTGGGGATTCGGGAGATATTGTGATCCATATTTTGGTACACATTGCAAACAACAGCCCACTCATGTTTGTATTTTAAAGGTTTGGAATACAGACAATTTGACCGACAGCTGGGTTCCTGACATTTTCTGTTGACTAGCCTCTACCTGCAGTAGTAAATGAGAAACTCACAACATAATTTGAAGGGCTTACAAATAGTGACAGAGGCATCGACATGAAATATGTAAATGTCTAGTTCCAACGAGCTAATAATAATTTCATATTACAAACAACAGATAAAGATCAAACATTCTATTGCAATACTATCAAGGAAGGTTTGAACTTGATCAAATTTGGCATTGATTGAAAATATTCAAAAATGAAAAATAAATTTTATCATAATTTTATAGTTTTTAAGTATCTTTTCATTTTGACACATAGAGAAGTTCAAATATTGGAATGGGATGTAAGTTTGATCTGAGCTTTTGAATGTGACATGGGAACAACAATTTTCTGAAGTCCATCACAAGGGAGGTAATTCAAGGTTTCATGAACACTTTCTTGGAGTGAAGAAACATTTTCAATCCTGTGTAAACAATAACAGATAACTCCATGTATACACAAAATTACATCCCTCATATACAAATTTACTCTGAAACATTTACAAAGGCAAGAGTCTGACCTGTGCATAATTTTGTTTAGCATAGAGTGAAGTGAAACAATACATGAATAATGATTTTACATAAACTTCACAGTGAATGCAGGACTCACATACAACTAAATATCTTAATATGTTTATGATAAAGAACATATAAATACTTTTACACAGATGAGACAGAAATCAAGGCAGCTATACAAAAAGGTATCCAGGCAACAAACCCCTACAGCAGGTGTGTAGAATCCAATGAAACATCTAAAAATCTCATGGACAAAAATACAAACTAGAGTATAAAATGGTCTCCTGTACTTCAATTGCCACGACACTACAGTACCCATGACTAGCAGGCTTTATATTTAGGACAATTTTGTAACAATCCAGACTGAATTTTTTTGTTGGGAACAGATCTTTCCATACATATATTAAAAGAATCCCTAAATCTTTTATTAACAGAATCTTACAAAGCCAATAAAATGGGTTGTGGTGGTTCTGATAGGTATTACATGTAAGGTGTACCACAATCCCACACTTGTGCCTCGGAGTTTACCCAGAAGCCATCCGGAGCAGCACCCAGGATAGCCAAGAGAGAAACTATTATCATTACAAATAGAGTGAGTGAGTGAGTACGGTTTTACGCCACTTTTAGCAATATTCCAGTAATATCACGGCGGGGGACACCAGAAATGGGCTTCTCACATTGTACCCATGTGAGGAATCTCCATAAAGAGTGAACACTTTAACCACTAGGCTACCCCACCGCCCCCCATTACAAGTAGATATATCACAATGTAGGTTGGTTGGTTGGTTGGTTGGTTGGTTGTTTAATACATATCACAATGTACAATAGAAAGGTAAATATATATCATATTGTATAGTTGTGGCAGAGAGTGCTTATTGATGTAGGGGCATTCGTTGTGTTGCTAAGCTTTATCTTCGAACACATGTACTCTATTCAAATGTGTAATATGAGTACCATGTCATCAGTTTCGACCTATAAACTGCTGACCATGATTTAACAAAATAAGAATTGATAGATCATAAAATATATTGATTGCAATACATTTGTCGTCTTATAAAAGTCTTAAACATTTGCAAAAATGCTTTGCATATTTTTTATGGTCATAATGATCTACAGAAATGAGAGAACTGTGCAAAATGAAACTACTGTTTCACATTTCAGTAGAGTATAGGCATGTAAGAATCTTTAGCCTGACTGGAGATTTGCCAGCCACAGACAAATTGGCAGCTATTTGGACACTGGCAGTAAACCTTACAACAACCTAACTGATCTAGGTAGAAGGGTCTCTTGCAGATTCCCTGATAAACAAGTTTTGTCACAACATCACCCACATGAATTTAACATCAGGTAAACTGAAATCAGTTGTTGTATAACTATAACTACATAACTCTGCTTTAATACATAATCATCATCTCTCAAGTATCACAGAAACAACACAAATATACTCACAGAGACAAATAAGGGAACACAATATGGCTTTATCTAGCTTTTAGAAATATCTCAGTAAGAATGGGCTTTAATTCAATCCATCTTGGGGATCTTCAGCATGGCAAGTAGATGATTTAACCACTAAGTAACCCATCACCCTATTTGGTGGACATTTTATAGTTAAGTACAGATGCTATATTTTAACTAAATTGTACACAATGTCAAATTAGTATCTGAGCTATTGCTTTAACAGATTACGCTAGAGAAAAGCCTTTATATTTCCATAATTTTATCAACATTGATAGAATTATTCTTCTAAAACATCACCAAAGTTGAAAAAGATCTTTCGGACATCCTGGATAACAATCAGTCAACGCTGTTGACAATGAATATAGCTTAACCCCTGACAATGTCTGTTAAAGTTCAATTATATGTTTTTTTCTGGAATAAATTACACAAAAATAACACTTAAAATTTCACTCAAGAAGTAATCCATGGACTTTTTTCCTTTTCATATTGAGTGAGTGAGCGAGTCTTCACCCCACCGCCCCATTTTCTTTTCATATATTACCCAAATGTCAAGACTTCACTGAGATAAGTACTCAAATTTATTATACACATATTTTATTTTACACCTTCCATACACCTGTAAATGACAAAAAGATACCCCAGGGACTGCCTAGTATGGCACCTCAATCAAGCCATAAACAGTTCCCTTACTTTCTCCTTTCAGTATATATTACCTGTCTCTTCAACAGATTACTATGTAAAAATTGACACCATTTTGAAACATTTTTTGGTATTCAACAATAGAAAATATCAATTTGTTAAAGCTAAAATACTATTGGTATATACATACAAACACTACAAGACATAAACATGGAGACTTGTACTGAGCACAAGAAAAGTGTAACTGCATGTAAACTTTCTTTGACATCATCATTTAAATGTAATTGTCAAAAATACATCTGTCTATAAACACTAGCTATGAAGACCCAATAGGGGAATACTACCTGAAATAGAGAGTCAGGTGTAAAATACTATGTCAGTGTATAAAAAAGCACTAGTCAAACCATTCTGAGCATTTCAACATGGTGAGCTATATACTAGCACTGCTAACATCATTACATACTGAGAGAAACAAATAAAGGAACACAGGAAAATTCAAGCGTTCCTTTCATATTTTCCAGTTTTCATCACCAGCTTTGAATAGCGCTGTTGGAGAAAATCTGAGAATAAATAAAGGAACACTGCCATGAAGTGGTGTTCCCTTATTTGTTTCCCTCAGTATATATCTGCTCATCGTCAGTACTTAGTGGCTTCATATCCGCTACTTTCTTCCGTCATCCGTGAATACATACCGCTGTGTGTTGCTATTTTTAACCAATGAGCACTCGTTTTGCATTGTACGAATGGCAATGTTTCTCGCCTGATGTCATGAGCAGCATGTCATGTGAAATCTGATTGACACATTGATTCATTGTCAGGTAATCGTCATATTAGTCTGTCATACAGACCCTGAAAAAAATACATCCAAGAAAGCCCATGCAAGTCTGGAATATGTGGTAAATCTAGATTAGGTTAGACCATTTTATTTCTTGTTGTACAGATTTTTGTCCTCAGAAAACCTAAAGGCAGGAGGGAAAATAATAAAAATAAAATCACCAGTCAAAGTAATATTCCTTTTAAACACTAAAAGTATTTTACTACTGGCAATTTATGAAATGTATATGGGGCAAGAAACAATCTGATAAAAAATGTCTTGTACGTTTACATTTTTGGCCAATAAAAACATTAGGATGTAACTTTTGAGCGGGAAAATTAATATTTATTTTTATTGTTATTCTTGACAAAATACGACCGCGGATCTGTAAAACAAGAAATAAAGTTGGTCTGGCCTTATACTTCACCATATTTTACTGAAAATAGACTGGCCTTCACACTCCATGTCATATCTGCTCAATGTATTCACAGGGACGGAGGAACGTAGTGTATAGTGTATGTCCCGTGGACAACTGACATTGAGTAATGCTAGGCATCATAGAAATGTGGTATTTTCAAACATTTGTCTGCAAAACTGCCACTGTCATGTAATTCAAATTTATATGAGGGAGCAGCGAAGATTTGACACATATTTCTTCATTCATGGCACTTTAATAATCATTTTGTAGTTCTACCCTGAACCTTGGATAGAACACAATTAAAGATGAACTTCTACATATGATAACATTATGAAATAAATATGACCAAGTCAAGCTTATTTCCATATTTGAATAAAAAATATAATCTTAAACCTAGAACATGAAAGTCCACTTTGTTGGATTTCTTGAAAAGAAATGAGAGAAGCCATTTATCCTTTGAACAAAAAATGTTCTCTTTAAAAATATGAAAAAGTACCCTCACTGTTTCATGGGCTTAACATAATGGAAGGTAATTTGTCTTGTAGCAAAAAATACCTGCCCCTGATAAACTTGTAAATGTTGCAATAAAAATATCACAGATGTATGTTACAGAACAAAAGATAAAGCTTGGAGCTAGAGAGCCAAAAGAAAACACGATTGTCATTTAAACATGGTGAATAATTGTAGTATAAGTACTGTGAGTATAGAACAAGCTAAAAAAGAATAAATATTGACTATGTCCAAACAGTTCATCGGACAACAAATTATCATGGTCTTTCCTCTTGTAATATATCTCAATACTATTTGTGTTTGCAAGACAAACAGGTTGTCAATATATCATGCGACTTGATGTCTATTCCCAAAACATCAGCATAACTCTCTGAATTTTATGATAGTGCACACAATTTTTTAATCATGAATTTCAAATTTGTATAACAGCCAGGCCAATGTTTTTAACCCAACGAAATAAATAATAAGAATACATTTAACGAGACACCTTTTGCCATTATGGTAAAGAATGTGCTCGAGCGCCTTCCACATTAAAGGTTACTAAGTTTTTTCAGACTCAATTTCTAGCAGGGGGTTATGGGATCAACCCACGAGACAACAGCTTGGTAAGTAGAAGTAGTTTTAGGGGAAATGTGACTATGATGCACGTCACTGATGAGTTTGAGACACACCATTATGGAACTGCTGTTTGCAAGTAACTTTTTTATGTTTGTGAATTCCTTTGATTTTCAGTGTCGAGGTCCAACAGCAATAAACCATACAAAGGCAAGCTGAGGCATATTTTCTTTTACTTTGAGCTTTACTGACCAATCTTTAAACAGCAACTTTATAAAAACTTTCGTATTGCAGCTTTATTAGTCGCATTAAACAATCATGACAGTAGGTGTCCAGTAAACTGTATGAGTGCCATTAAATGCTGTATTTAATTGAATTATAATATTTGATTTATTTTTTTCTTAAGCTTTTCGAAAATTTGGCATTGATTCTATTTTGCCTCACTGGCATATCGACCACGAAAATTTGATAATATATATATATATGAAATATATCATTGATAAAACCCAAGTATTCAACATTGGTTCATATATCAACATTGTTAATATATCAACATTGATGTATATATCAACATTGGTCTATTTATCAACATTGGTCTATATATCAATGTTGGTGTATATATCAACAATGGTGTACATATCAACATTGGTGTATATGGTGTATATATCAACATTGGTGTATATATCAACATCGGTTTATATATCAATGTTGGTGTATATATCAACATTGGTGTATATATCAACATCGGTTTATATATCAATGTTGGTGTATATATCAACATCGGTTTATATATCAATGTTGGTGTACATATCAACATTGGTGTATATATCAATGTTGGTGTACATATCAACATTGGTGTATATATCAACATCGGTTTATATATCAATGTTGGTGTATATATCAACATTGGTGTATATATCAACATCGGTTTATATATCAATGTTGGTGTATATATCAACATTGGTGTATATATCAACATCGGTTTATATATCAATGTTGGTGTATATATCAATGTTGGTGTATATATCAACATCGGTTTATATATCAATGTTGGTGTACATATCAACATTGGTGTATATATCAATGTTGGTGTACATATCAACATTGGTGTATATATCAACATCGGTTTATATATCAATGTTGGTGTATATTTCCAACCCAGTAACATCTCACGTCATGCTGGGGCTGATTACAGAATCCATGGAAGCTGAGGCAGGGGTGCATACACCATCAGAGTTCATCATGTGTCACTGTATTCTGACCACCAACACTGATGGCACCGGCACCCAGAAGGTAAGTGCATACAGCATAGAAATGGAACAGAGCACCTACAAACACAAAACAGTGCCAGATGGCATGGGCGAAAGGAATGACGCCATCGCTTTTAAAAAACACGACTCCACACATGTACATACTCCCACCGATGAGCACCTCGTAGATGCCAGAGCACTCTTCCTGTGGAGAGATAAGAAAAGATGATGCATATATGGGTCCAGACGCAGCTGCAAAGATATTAAGTTGACAGCTAGACAACTTGCCATCCTGATGAAATTATTATGATGAGATCGTTTGCTGAGATACAACACTTCTTAGCATGAAGACCTGAGGACAGATACAGGCAAGGTCAGGCAAACTGTCAAATCAGCCAATCAGAATTGAAGTATCTAAATTCTCGATACAAGAATGCACAATATTTAGAAATGAATATGTGATTTCTGTATCTTGAAAAGCAAAAAAATCGACGTGCTCTGAAGGCAAAAAAATAAAGCACTGCCAATGTATTATTGTGGATTATTTATACATAGTCATTTCTGAGTGCCACAGCATCTCCACCCAAAAGGGTGTACTCCTGATGGCATATCTGGGTTCAGTGGGTGTTTTCTTTTGTCAAGATGGGTGTTTTCTTTGAAATTAAGATCAAAAGCACCCACATAAATTTTGTCAATAATACCACTCGATGAAGATCAACATATTTGAATCAAGAGTGGTGACGGACTGACTGAGATTGTTTTTTTGCTGCTTTTAGCAATATTCCAGCAACATCACGCCGGGGGACACCAGAAATAGGCTTCACACATTGTACCCATGTGGGGATTCAAACCCGGGTCCTCAGCGTGACAAACCAACGCTTTAACCACTAGGCTACCCCACCGCCACATCAAGGTGGTGAAGAAATGTTCAACCAAAGCAGGGGCGGATCCAGGATTTTGGAGAATGGGGAAGCACATCAATCATGAAGTCCAAAGGTTAGGGGGGGAATGCTCCTGAAGGAAAGTTTTTTCAAGGAAGAGGGGGGTGCTCACTTTCCTCCCCTCTTCTGGATCCGCCCTGCATGGTAGAAGCGTTTGTCTGCTTGTTTCAAGAATCCACACATCCTTACTTTAGGCTGAGATGTCAATGTTTACTAATGGTTCCCTTCTGCTAAAGTGTCCTTAGATCTTCACACAGAAATATATCATATCAATATACAAGACTTGATTTAAGAGGGATTGGATCAACAAGCTGTGCACAGTTGGCTAACCATATTTTCTGTCAAACGCGCAATGGGTATTTCCTTCGCAGAATATATTTTCACAGGTTGCACTTTAATAAGAAAGGTAAAAGATTACTTTCGTCAGTCACAGAATATGTTACTTGACACACAAAATGAAATATTTATGTGTGGAGTATTCGACCGAACCAAGGGAGATAACTATTCACTTCAGTTTCCAACAGGACATTTTCAATAGGAATAGGGGAATTATCACCCATCAAATATCTGGTTTGGATGTCTGAAGACACTGCATGCATAAAAAAATCTACCTTGGCAAGTAAAATCTAAAGATGCTCTTTACAGTACAACTATTCACACTTTACTGTAGGTCATGCTCTTAACAGTACAACTATTCACACTTTACTGCAGGTTAAGCTCTTTACAGTACAACTATTCACACTTTACTGTAGGTCATGCTCTTAACAGTTCTATTCACTTTTACTGTAGGTCATGCTCTTTACAGTACAACTATTCACACTTTACTGTAGGTCATGCTCTTTACAGTACAACTATTCACACTTTACTGTAGGTCATGCTCTTTACAGTACAACTATTCACACTTTACTGTAGGTCATGCTCTTTACAGTACAACTATTCACACTTTACTGTAGGTCATGCTCTTAACAGTACAACTATTCACACTTTACTGTAGGTCATGCTCTTTACAGTACAACTATTTACACTTTACTGCAGGTTAAGCCAAGTCTTGGTATTCAATTAATCACACTTAGCATCCAAATTAATTATTTTTATCCCACTACCACTATGCTGAATAATAAGAATTATGATACAATGAAAAGTTGTTTATTTACCATGAGAAATACTGCAGATGCTGGAAGGATCCCGATACCCATGTAGAACACAATCTCCAGCCATTTGTACCTGGAACAGAGACAACATAGTCACACCTACATCCAGCATGTCATCCAGGCTTAGAGATCACAAGTCACACCTACATCCAGCATGTCATCCAGGCTCAGAGATCACAAGTCACACCTACATCCAGCATGTCATCCAGGCTCAGAGATCACAAGTCACACCTACATCCAGCATGTCATCCAGGCTCAGAGATCACAAGTCACACCTACATCCAGCATGTCATCCAGGCTCAGAGATCACAAGTCACACCTACATCCAGCATGTCATCCAGGCTCAGAGATCACAAGTCACACCTACATCCAGCATGTCATCCAGGCTTAGAGATCTCATGTCACACCTACATCCAGCATATCATCCAAGCTCCGAGATCACATGTCACACCTACATCCAGCATATTATCCAATAAAATAAGCTACCTCAGAGACTGTAAATCACATCCAATCCTGAAAGGGCTTTTTCATACTCATACTGCATGGTAGATATACTGGTAGGTGATGTGGTATACTCACTGTTCATGATAGATATACTGGTAGGTGATACGACTCACTACTCACTGTTCATGGTAGATATACTGGTAGGTGATGATGACACGACAGTATACTCACTACTCACTGTTCATGGTAGATATACTGGTAGGTGATATGACTCACTACTCACTGTTCATGGTAGATATACTGGTAGGTGATACTGACTCACTACTCACTGTTCATGGTAGATATACTGGTAGGTGATACGGTTCACTACTCACTGTTCATGGTAGATATACTGGTAGGTGATACGACTCACTACTCACTGTTCATGGTAGATATACTGGTAGGTGATGTGACTCACTACTCACTGTTCATGGTAGATATACTGGTAGGTGATGCGACTCACTACTCACTGTTCATGGTAGATATACTGGTAGGTGATCATGGTAGATATACTGGTAAGTGATACAACTCACTACTCACTGTTCATGGTAGATATACTGGTAGGTGATACAACTCACTACTCACTGTTCATGGTAGATATACTGGTAGGTGATGTGGTATACTCACTGTTCATGGTAGATATACTGGTAGGTGATACGACTCACTACTCACTGTTCATGGTAGATATACTGGTAGGTGATGTGGTATACTCACTGTTCATGGTAGACATACTGGTAGGTGATACGACTCACTACTCACTGTTCATGGTAGATATACTGGTAGGTGATGTGGTATACTCACTGTTCATGGTAGATATACTGGTAGGTGATGCCGAAGGCTGCCAGGGACCAGATGAGCAGGATGAGATGATGACCCCACCAGCCCAGGTCTTTCAGGGCCAGCCTACACAGGGCACAGGTCAGAGTGAATACAGAGTCAGTCTCACATGGACCAAACAGATGTAGGTAAGAAGGCTAGTGGTGAAAACAATCCATTTAGTTATTTACTGTGTATAGCTATTGTGATCAGCCAGTCTTAATTACACAACATCTCACAACAAACCAATGAGTCTCTGTCAGATATAAATGTTAATCACTCTGACTGGCAGCAAATGCAGTAGGTGATTAACACATGAATTTGATAGAAAGTATGGGTTAAATTTTGTTTACAGAAATGTCATGTCAAATTTTGAATAGTATGTGATGATTTTTAATGAGACAGAAATCTGTGTGACATTTTGTCATGGAAGTTTGTAATTGGGGGGACAACCATCTCCAGTAGAAGAAATATGGGTGTCGAATGCAATATTTACAAATTGGTTTACTCTTTAATGCAATTTTACATGACACAACTCCACCTTTGCAAAGAAGAACTCCAAACCCCTAAGTGCATGTGTGGAATCAAACCCAGGTCTGGTATGTGACACTACCCACTGACCCAGCTGGATTCAGAACTCACCATGGGGTGTAGGAAGCAGCGATGAAGACATAGATGACTGCACGATCACCAATATGGAAGAAGTTCTTGAATGAGCTGAAAGAAAAACAGATTGAGATATTCATCTGAGTGAGATAAGAATATTTCAGACTTGCGGGTGTTTTTTTATTTTATTATTATTATTATTATATGATATTTGTATAGCGTCAATATCCAGCTCAGCTGCTCAAAGCCGCTTTGTTTTTCCTTTGATCATTAGATGTCAATCTCAACGGCACATCCTATTATACATCTAAACTCCCTGGGGATCATACAACTCTTGCAGCCACTAGGCATACCAAGGTAATGTGGCTTTCTCATCCTTACGAGGTACCCATTCACAGCTGGGTGGACTGGGACACATAGTCACAGTACTTTGTCCAAGTTTACTGCACATTGCTGTACCCGCAACTAGGTGTTTGCACGTATTCATGTGGCCACCATCTGGTCATTTACCAATGGATTCATAGGTTCTTTTAAGTGCACAGGGTTGTGTACTGTACACTAGGGGTTGTGACAACACTGAAAGAGTCTGCACGTAAAGTTGACTCCAAGGTTTTACACCCGGTCACAGGTGGGCTTAATCCCAGCACCTTAAGCTTGCTGGATCACTAGGCTGGCGCGTTAGATCGCTCGCCCACTGCTCCCCCCAATTTCAGTTTTCAAAATCTCATCTTGAGTGTGAGGCAGAGGTTTCAATAGACACATTATGATTGTGATTGCTGTGAATAATGCGGACCGAAGTTATAATTATCGGTAACTGCCAGTTGTCTTATGGTATAAGTTGGCCACGATTAGGACCCCATCGCGGGGGATCAGCTTATGTACAAAACATACCAGTTTGATACTGATTTTAAGGGTCAAGTTAGGGGGTCGGCTTATCTATGAGATCGGCTTATCTACGGTAATATACGGTACTTCAAACATCACCAGAAAAGCATGAAAAGTGAAAAGTTATTTTTGTCGAGACTGAAAGAAGTACACAAAGCTGCCAGGTGAACAAGGGAAGTTCTTTAGTCCGTGCAAGTTGAAAGTTAGCTTAACATTCCTTTCAAAATTATTCAACTCACAGAGCCACACATATGACATGTGTGTATGTGGCTGCTGGCACTAGTCCAGACTTAACCCAGACTTACAGTGATAGCCAACTGGGATACGATACTACAGTATTAACATGGATACCTCACTCACGTCATACTGACTCTGAGCTGACCAGTCCTGGGCTTTCCCTTTAATTCAAAGAGCCAGACAGGCAACCATCAATAAGGGAATGCAATCAAGCCTATACATTCAAAAAGACCTGCCTCAGTAAGAATCACTTGAGACTCCCCTTATAGCATCCTCACCTGCTGAACTTGCTGGCACAGAAGGAGACGGTGTGGAAGGTGGTGGACACACTGAACAGTGTTGCCAGGGCGCCACCGTACACAACGGCGATGATCATCTGCACCTGTGTTACCGACAGGTACACCATCCACAGTAGGCCCAGGACGCTAGGCAAGATCCATAACTGTGAGAAGCAAAGCTCAATATAACTACAAACCTCTTTCCAAGTAGAGCTGTGTATCGTGACCTAATTGGTGAGACGATATATCCTGATACCAGTTTAATGAGACGAGATGATATATCATGAAAGTATTGGCAAGGTAACTGCGAGACAATTATCATCAAATTACAATTGTGGCAATACGATATGTATCCCGATACTTTACAAAAGAACAGATATGGTAGATAAAATGACTGAAACTTTATTTGTTATTCAGCAGAACTTGTGTTACATTCACACACATTTAAAAAGCTGTTCAGCATTTCAGTTTCAGCATTTAATGCTTAAGAAAGTACAGTCAAACATATTCAGTGTACCTTGATCTAATACACTGTATATATAAATTTGAAAGTGATGTTTCCCTTGGGAAGCTGTGTTTCTACACCAATGCTTTCACAAACAACTCAATGTGATTCATATCAGAATTCAGAATCACTGAAAAAAACCTGTTAAGTCTGCTTTCTAAATTTTATCTTCGCTTTGTTCTCTTCTAAACAAAGCTAAGACATCGTTCATAGTTGTTAATAAATGGTTTTACTTGTCAAACAACCAAAACATATCTGCATATTTCAATTACTTGAAGACAAGTATTCTACAGTTCACAGGGTTTGTAAAAATGTTCACACTCTTTGACTTATACACCAACTCCTTTGTTCAAGTAACAAAGATAACAGACACAAACAAATTCCTTTAAAATTGAATTTGTTTTTAAAATTCAGAAGAATTTCAAAGAGACTCCTTTCCTATTCCTAATGCAATACTCCTTACAACTTTAAAGATCACATATACTCTAGGGGGTACAAATACATACATCACTACTTGGCATCGCTATAAATGAAACCCCGTCATTAAGACTACTCATTTTGTTTTTTAATTAACTTAAATCGACCTTTTTGACAACAGTGCACAATTCTCACCCGCATACGAAATTTCAACCAATCAGAGTGGCGCGTCTCTGTGACGTCATATGAGGAATAGATATGAGGGCTGATGCAGAATTCATCTACATTTCAGGGGGTAAATTATCTTGTTTACAGGTTTGTATAAACCTGAAATCGTGACAATTGTTGTGAAAAATGAAAGCTATATGTTCTCACAATCTGCTGTCATTTAATTTTGTCTCCTGCTTTACCTAGTTTCCGAGTTACAACTTGTTTTCATAGACGATTCTGTCAAAATCGCTTGCTGTCGCTAGGCCTTATTTGTTCGAGCTAGACGCTAGTGATAGCGAAAACGATGATCAGCCTCGCTCATCACGGTTATGGTTAATTTCTTCAACCTAAACAGTGCGACATTAGGAAGGGTGGATGCCCATCAGATGCAGTTATTTGAAAATATCCCTGGTAGTTCTTGTCTGATTGTAATAAAGTATCAAAGCAGTGTGGGCTTTTTCAGGTTTTCTAATGCCTGGATGGTATAATGACTGATCCAAATTGATCCCATTTCTGTGTTTTTTTACCTCGATATTTAATCATGCCATGTAAAAATATGACGTCTTTTACGTATGATATTAAAAATTTACATTTGATTTATTTGAATCTGTAAACAAAACAACCTTACTTTGCCATTTGCTAGAAGAATCTGAAAATTTACTTAGGTAAATAGGTACATACAGTTTTAGCACACAGCAAATGCTTATATGTATTTCTTATGCAACAATGAAGTTCTGTTCGTATTCTCAAAACAGTGTCGGACCATAAGTTTTCACATGCAATTAAAATTGCATGCAACACAGCAATTAATACTCCCTTGTTGTAACCCGTGTTAGGTGGTATAAACCTACACATGTTATTTGTCATCATTCACTTGATGGTCAGTTAATGAATTTATAACAGGCATAATTAGTGGTAACACCACTTAGATTCCAAGGTTCCCATTTGGCATTTCTTGTCTCTGGAGTAAATACTCCACATTATAAACATCGATCAAAGGATTAACCGATAACATGCTGATTGATTAATTACATTTATCTTACACAGCGGATTTGTCAAAAGGTAGTGTTTATGTACGTAGATTTAATAATCTATACTGAATACACTCTGTCGTGTCTGTGTCTGCGTAAAAACGTCCTTCTTTCAAAGGATTAACCGCCAGTACATTGATTGATTGCTCATTATTGGCAGACTAAATTACCTTTTTTTAAAGAATGGTGAACATTATGCAATTAGTTGCCAGGTGTGCTACCTTGGGTGACCAATGAGACTATACACCAATGTGAAATACCTGAAACGATCTATCACTTTTTCGTGGAACATCTGCAGATGAATGGCATATCACTTGTTTTTGTGGATATTAATGGATACATTCCTCGAACAAGGTAATAGCCTGACATTGTTCCTATAACTTTAATCTGTATTAAATTTAATATTTGCATTTTGTTTTTATTCATTTGCCGTAGGATTCATAAGAATCATTGTTTTCACCGTGAAGTGTAATGAGACAGACAACATACACTAGGGTGTGTGTGCGAATTATGATTCACATTGGCAAACTATAACATGTCCTTGTCTATAAACTATAACAGTCCTGTTATAAATTCACTATAAGTATCAGCAGATCATCTGCTTTCTATTTAGTTTCAAAATGCTTACAAGTATGATAATAAACTAGATGTAATTAGGATTATAAGACCAAATATAAAGATGTACATTGACTAGTATCTACATACTGGTGAGTGGACATTAACCACGTGAATGTAGCAAGAAATTTACCGCGCAGTATTGTCACTTCGACCCCCACCTCGCTTCCGTGGAAGAAATCGTTATGTTATAAGTAGTGTCATGCAAAATCCTTTTGGTCATGATTCAAATGCATATTTAACTATGAGTAGAAAGTAGTTTTGATTTTCTAACTTGATGAAAACAAACCATAATCTCATTAATTCTAACAGACTTTAGCCCGTGACTTTACGAATTTCCAAAATGTAATTTCTCTCGTGGAAGCGAGGTGGGTGTCAATATAATACTACTTACAGTATTATTGTTACTTCGATCACAACCTCGCTTCCAAGGAAGAAATCGTTATGTTACAAGCTGTGTCATGGAAAATCTTCATGGTCATCAATCATATACATATTTTACTACAACTAGTAAGTAGTTTTGATTCTTTAACTTCCGTGAAGCGATCTGAACACAAGTAAGATATCGTTTCAGGCTTCCACAACGCTCGCTTCGCACTCACATACATAACAACGATTCGGTATGTCTTCATTGATGTCTAGAAATCATCAAAATGACGAGCTTGCTACACACTTTATATACAACTGAAAATCCTTCCTCCTATGACGTCACTGCAGTGCTCTGGCGACAGAGTTACGTAACCTGTTTCGTTGGCGGGTGAGAGTGAAGCAGGCGACTTTTTGGCAACTATTAATCGCTTGGTATCAATTAACCACAAGTTTTTTAAGAATGAATTTGGTGTTCCGCATAAGACTAACCACAAATCTTTCATATGTAATAGTTAAAAGAGTACAAAAAACAAAGTTTATTTGTTCTTTTAAGTCTAGTATTTAAGTTGTATCGGGATATATCGTCTCTTGTGGTGATACATCGATTTATTACCCACGTGGTCAACGTATGGGTAGTTGCATACTAATCTCGTACATCACACGAGTGTCGTATCACGCTGACCTATGTCGTAACGACTTGACCTGAGATTCTAACGATTTGATTGGATAACCGATGACCTCTCAGTTAGGTCACGTTGTGACGGAACTACTTGTTCATTCATAACAAACATGTGAATTCATTCATTCTACAACTTAGATACATTGTGGGAATGTAAACATTGCGAACATTGCTGTGTTGCTATTTAATTGTGAGTCGAACTGAGACATTATATCCGTCAAAAAACATAAAAGCAATGTTTCCACCAGTGATGTTAGCCAAGTGAAGCAGTTGCAAACCAAGAAACGGGGTGCTACAGAGTAGTTTACTGTAGGAGGCTGTACTAGAGGCGATGACAACTGACATGCATCGTGACGTCGGTTACCAAGGGGACAGACAAGAATGGCGTAGTGACGTCAATACAGTGTGACGTCATGCAAAAGTGTACGTCAGAACAAAATTATTCCGCAACCTCTTTATGAAACCGGTTTTGGTTTGAAACCACAACAATACCAAAACTACGCTATTTTGTCAATTTAATGCATGTAAGACGTGGGTAGTAAATAAAATACCACACTCGGTCTCATTACATACGAATTATACGAAACTCGTGACCTTCCTATGGTGTCAGATACCATAGGAAGGGCACTCGTTTCATATAAGTCGTATGTAATGAGACCTCGTGTAGTATTCTCTATGTATCATGGACCCTCGTGATAAAAAAATATCATGATATATTGCCTAAATGTGTTTTGTATCGATGCACTCGTATTGCATAGTTGACGATGTAAACATCGATACTATCGATGAATCGTTACACCACTATTTTCAAGTCAGAAAGAAAATACAAAAATGTCACATGATACATATCCTTGCAGTTGTCACATGGTAGATTTACTTGTGCTATATTTAAATTCTTCTAAGAGTGAGTGAGTGAGGTTTTACACCATTTTTTGCAATATTTCAGCAATGTCACGGCAGTGGGACAACACAAATGGGCTTCTCACATTGTACACATGTGGGGAATCGAGCCCCAGGTCTTTCAGCGTGACAAGCAAACGCTTTAACTACTAGGCTACCCTACCATCCCTCTTCTAAGAAGCAAGTTCTAGCAAGACGTCACTGCATTCAGAAACTTATATAACATATAACATCCAGGACAATATAACACAATGTCCTCTACTTCCATTGGTACTTTGTTTTCCAGATGGAGAAATCAAGTATAATTCTCCAAATGCATTGAACACATATACAAAAACTTGAATGACTGGACACTAAATAGTTCATTAGAAAGTTGACTTGATTCAACCTCCTGCTGAGAGGGGGGTTTGTTAGACCATCATTCATACAACTTGAAACAAGAGCAGGGCTCGATTTAGTGCTTTGATACTTGCACTGGTGCAACCCAATATTACAAAATGCAACCTAGTTATTAGTCTGACTTGCACCAGGTGCAAGTCAAGTATCGAGAATTATATCAACAATAAATCTAACATTATAAGCATAAATATGTCAGCTCATATTTCTTCTAAACTTTGAATAGCTATGGCATCAAAACATTGTTATTTATAGACACTTGTTGGCTATGACAGCTCAAGTAAACAAGAACCAGCTGTTTGTCTGTGCTGCTATGGTTTCATGGTTACATCACGGAAATATGTTTATGTGCACCGAAACCTCTTGACGTTTTAGCACACTGCGTTGCAACTGGAATTTGGCTGGTGCAACTAAGTTTCTATCTTAGGTTGCACCTGGTGCAAGTAGGTTAACATCTCTTAAATCGAGCCCTGAAGAGTAAAAGATATGTTCTTACCTGATTGGAATTCATTATATCTACATTTTGATTCAAGAATCACACTTGCCCCTCGAAAAGGAACAAAAACACTGCATCTGACAGAAAAATTATTAATCCTAGATTGGGCAGGTGTCCAGGCTGGATCAATCCAATGGATAAAAACAGTACCCACTGAGGTCATATATGGATTAAGATACAAATATACTACAAACAAAAAGTATGGGAACACCCTAAAATTTGATAGTCATTTAGTGTTTATATGTCAACATGACAATGCCTGAAGAATTAACAAACGGAAATGTTGAGAAACTCCTGGGAGAACTGTTATTATTATCGAAACAAACGTCTATGACACTGAAAATCAGTGTCTAACTGAGACTTAGTTGAGACAATTTACATGTTTATGTTTGACAAGGTTTACTTAACACAGTGATACTTCACAGTGGGTAAAATGGGTGAAGCCCATTTAAAGTGCCTAAATATCACTGGAACATTGCTAAAAGCAGTGTTAAACCAAACTTACTCACTGACTCACATACCCTCACAGAAACATAAGAAAAATTATAAATATGAAACCATTCATGAAACCATTTAAGTCCTCCTGTACAAGCAGCACTTACCCCATGAGAGATAACGTTGGCAATGTGTTCTACATCTGTGGGGACGTAGGCCTGTCCTGGCTTGGCACGACTGTTCATCAACCTACAACCAAGATCCATCAAAATACACTGACTATTCCAAATATCCAACCAATGAGTGAGTGAGTGAGTTTAGTTTTACACCACACTCAGCAATATTCCAGCTATATGGCAGCGGTCTGTAAATAATCGAGTCTGGACCAGACAATCCAGTCATCAACAGCATGAGCATCAATCTGCGCAATTGGGAACCAATGACATGTGTCAACCAAGTCAGCAAGCCTGACCAACCAATCCTGTTAGTTGCCTCTTACGACAAGCATGGGTTACTGAAGATCAATATTCTAACCCGGATCTTCACGGGTATCCAACCAATGACACCTCTGAGGACCTGGTCATCTGGTCATTAACATAAGGAGAGTTGACTATAGGTACAGATAAGCTGCGTATCTGCGTAAATTATGCAAATATTTATGTGAAAACTCAATTCTCATTAAGTCATTTGCGTACAAGTACACTTGAAGTTTTGTAAATACTCAATAAGTTTGACTTTACGTACGTACACACAAAGATGTCAAATCTTAGCTTGCGTACTGGTGCGTAGACAATATAACTGAGGTAAATTGAGAGGTTCTATTTCAACACATGAACTTGGCAACTTGCAGTCTTTCTTATCGTTTCTCATATTACAGATCCAATATAAATACCATTTATACTTTGTTATATTTTAAAAATGAATGCAAATTAGCAAAATACCCAACTGAGTTTGAGTGAGGTGGGTACAATTTATTTGGTTACTCAAAGGAAAATTAGGATACCAAATTGAGATGAACACAAGCTAGTACATAACTCAATGACCCCAAAAGTTATCTGTAGCTCTGGTTTACCATACACATTTATCTCTGAGGTACATAAAATACATAAATATGCATTCATTTTCATATCACTTCAAATGGTTGTCAGTATTTTTCAAGAACATGCTATCCAAAGTCTGTCAAATTGTATCATATTAAAATTGTATCATTGAGGTGTTCTATTTTAGTCCGACAAATTATGACAAACTTGATATGGAGATGGCTTAAATTTTTTGCATTAGTCATTTGTTTTTGTCAGCAAGTTTCAATCATTCATTTAATAAAAACATTTTGCATACTAATTAGAAATGACATGCAAAAGTACCTTCTTTTCTCATCTAGATCATGATTTAAATGTTGAAATGACCATGATTACAGACCTCAATTTTGGTTCAGGAGATTTTTTTCAAACAAATCCACAACAAAATTACCTCTTATAGTCAGTATGTGAGGAGATTTGTCAGTAGGTGTGGCATCTTGCTGATGTTGATGTCACAGCTACTGCTGTTGCTGCTGCACCTCATTTCTCCTGCTGCTGTCACATGTTCACACTCTGAAAGAGAAAATACACTAACCTAAACTGAACTTCAAAAACAACACATGATCATATGTATTGGAGATTTTACCTTTGAAACATATCATACTTTTATGTCAAAAGCTTTCAAGTTAGAAAAGTATATCCTATTGTTTCTCATTGCAACTATCAACCTAAAAATAATATTTTTGGCCATGTCTGATAACATTATTAAATAATTCTTTTTATCAAACATATAAAATGTACAGTGAATTCCTTATTACAAAGATGATGAATTTTTATCATTTTGAAATCTTAAGTAATACGTGAAATCTTTTTAGCTATATTCATTAAACAAGGCTGGACATTAATGCTTAAGATAATGATAACTCAAACATAGTAAAAATGTTTTTATGTTACCATGGTAACATTTGAAAGGGTAATATGAATCTCACTTGTGGTTATTTAGTTCAAAAAGAATGTACATGTACCAAAATTATACAATCACTACAGTCAAACTTATAGACCATACAACCATGTGTCGTGTGTGCTTTAAATACTCAGTCCAACAAGGAAACTGGTAAAAATATCTTTGAACTTCAAGCAACTGACAGATGTGTAGCATGCTTAGTGATCACACTGTAGCAACACACAGAGTTGTGACTGTCACATTGTTGTTACTGATGATAAAGGCATTTCTGCAAGAACAATGCCAAATAGAGAGGTACGCCTATCATGTTAGTTGTTTCTTTACATTCATGATTTTGAGGCCAATGAGATTTGTGCGGTAAAGGACAACAGGGCGAACTTGTGAAATTTTAGTATATTTCGTACTGTACAAGCCACACATGGCCATTGCATTATGGTCTAGAATTGTGTGATGTACGAGAATAGACATGATTTTATTCTTTAGATATCTCAGTGTTGGCTGTTGGCTTAGCCCTCTTATCACCCATACACACATTACATGTAAGATTTTCACTTTTCTTCGTGTTTCTATTTATATTTTCTATGTTAAACGGCAGTTTTGCTAATACTCTGGAAGCTCTGAAGTTAAAAAAAGCTGTCAAGAACTCCTATATATGGAAATGGAATTTTGGTTCTGTAATAGCCACTTGTTATTGTAATACCAGACACAACTCTAACTGTATAGTCAAGAAGTTGATAAACATTACAGAGTCTTAACGTTTTGGTCCTTGAATATTTTATCGCTGAAAACTGTTAAGGTAAGAGTTCCTTACGTACCCCCCACCTATTTTTTTGTAAAAATGCAAAGATGTATACAAGTAATGAAAAGTACCTTATAAAATAGGCGGAGGAGTACGTAAGAGCTCTTTCCACTGTTAATCACCACTTTTTTCATTTTGGGCAGGTTATTAACAGTTAAATTGGTAAGAGTTCCTCCCGTTCCCCCATCCCAAATGATATTTATAAATAAACTAAAATTATTAACAAAACTTAACACAACAATTAGATCTACTAGAGAACTCACAAAATGACTAAAAGTCCAAATTTAAGTTAGGGTTAGGTTTAGGGTTAGGTTTAGAGTTAGGTTTAGGTTTGGGGTAACGGAAGGAACTGTTTCCGTTAAATTAAACCGACTTTCAGATAAGCAAAGGTGATAACTTTTCTAATGCCTTAAATCAGAGACCATATACCGATACGATACCCTTATGCCATAAGTTATGGTAGACCTCTGGTTAATATAATGACGATCGAAAACTGATACTTTGCTTGTATGTGTCAGATTAAGACATTACCATTAACATCGTTTTGCGCTGAGTTCCCTTCCCTTGCTGTTTCAGTTAGCAACGACCCGCCCTCAGATCATTATCACCGTTGCATGTCACTGCACTCTCGTCAGCTGCAGTTTGTATCCAGCTGTCAAGGTCCAGCCGTCAATGTTCTACTTCCGGGTTGGGTCTGGAAGCTTCCGGTATGCAGATTAGACTGGTTTGCCTGCCCAAGAGCGCTTGCGCTTCTCACCACGGCCGCTATGAGCAAAAATGTCAGGCTACCAGTTTCGTAAGGCACTTTCACTCGCGCTTCTAAGTTACAATTACATTTATTCGTCACTACTGTCCGTAACCGAGTTGTTTCGGAATAACAATTGCTCACGAATGGTTTTGGAAGACAGGAAAAATTCCCAGACGAGCTCTTGGCGTATGTCAACGCGATGGACCTAAGAAAATCAGTATCCCTGAACCTCTGGCGATCCTTAAATCGGTTAATCAGTTGTTTCACTCACAACAATCATGAAAAGTACGGTCACTATTTTGACACGTCATTCAACTATAGTGAATACACGGGAATAGATGCGCCGGTGAAAGTTTATATGATACTTTGGAAAGTTCTTTTGAAATTAAATAGCAGTAATCAAAAGTCTCGAATTATTTGGAGAATACCATTTACAATATCCGTTAATATTTATCTATAGCTTTTAAAAGCTTTTTTATAGCTTCAGTGTGAACCATACCCTTTTGTAGTGAGTGAGTATGGTTTTATGCCGCCTTTCCTTGTCCCTTCGTCAAGTATGATAGCCGTATCAAATACGTATTGTTGAGTGCGGCGTCAAACAACGAACAAACAAACATCAAATACGTCACCGTCGAATAACCATTCATTGTTTGTTTCATTTTAACCTCCACCCAACATGGTATATACGGTACTTTCTTTTGTCCGTCAGTGTATATGAAATGCATTATTAATACGTTCAGAGAAGTGCGTAATTTAATGTTCAGTGATCGGAATACACGAACTTGTTTTGAATAAATCAATTATGTTTTGAATACATGAGTAGCGTACGATTTTAAGATATGGAACAAATGGATATGTCACCCCTCACGCTAATGATATCGTGGAAGAACAGAGTTACACAATATACACGTGTGACACGCGCCCTCACCCTCATTAAAACACTTCAAGTCACAAAACTGATTGGTCATGCGCACTCCTCGGCTTAAGTAGCAGCCTTCAATGCTTCCATTAAGTGTCTTTGCTTGTGAATGTATAACATGCAGTTAACTCTGAGGCACATGGTGTGAACTGACGTCATGCATAATTCATACCTAACATATCCATTTTAACTTTAGTGAAAGGTCAGTCAGTGTGGGCTACACACTTGACGTTACATCACATGCATGGCTTTCAAAACGTCACGCATTGTGAATTTGTGACCCAAACGCATGTGTATCAGACTGATTCCTAAAACAGAGTACTTAAGAAATTGTCCCTCTAGTGAGTGAGTTTTAGCAATATTCCAGCAATATTACTGCGGAGGACGCCAGGAACGGGCTTCACACATTGTGCCCATGTAAAGAATCAAACCCGGGTCTCCTTTTGACGGGGGCAGTGGGGTAGAATAGTGGTTAAAGCGTTCGCTCGTCACGGGTTCGATTCCCCATACACCCGTATGTGTGAAGCCCATTTCTGGTGTCCCCCGCCGTGATATTGCTGGAATATTGCTAAAGGCGGCGTAAAACTAAATTCACTCACTCACTCCGCGTGACAAATGAACGCTGCTACACCACTACCCCTCGTTCCCGCTATTACGCTATTAAGAGCGTACACTACTTCCACGATCTCATGGGTTCAAGTCCTAGATAAAACGGGATTATGTTTAGCAGCACTATACTAGTGCTTTCAAAGCAGTAAGCATGCGCGGATCCAGAGGGGGGGTGCGCACCCCCCACCCTCCCCCAAGAGAGTGTTCCAAATGTACTTCATGTTTTATGCCCAGGGTTCCGAGGATTGGGGTGCACCCCCACCCCCACCCCAAACGAAAATCCTGTATCCGCCCCTGAGTAAGTATCTATCCGATACCTGCATCTTCCATATCAACCTGACACGCCGTGATATAACGGAAATACTGTTCAAAGCAGCATTAAACCTCTCACTGTGCACTTATAAAGCATATTTTATACATGTAATTATTACAAGCGGCCGTGTCAAGTATTTCAAATACACCACTCTGGTCAGGCGTGTGACACAGGTTTTACACTTTTCCAACTTTCGTTTCGAGTGAGGTGCCGACAAACCAAGAAGAAACGGGTTTCGAACCCACGGTCATAAATAAGTAACTTATTTCTCCACAGCAACTTGCAGCGCCATAGACGTATGTACCACCTACGTCCGCGTGATGACAAATTATTTTTACACGAACTATCACAAAGAAAGAAGTATCACTTTATACACATAGGGTTCAATAAAATACATTTATTATGAAACTGAATTATGCATCTTTCAATAAATATTCATTGAATATGTCTCCATGCAGGTCCTCGACTCCAAGGTCGTGATTCACCGTATGTATGTACGACATGTGCGTGTATGTATTGACGATCTTGGCCTTGATCTGCACCGCATTGAAAAAAGCCAGATCTGATTAGACATATTATATTAGAAGCCAACCTCTTCAATACGAGGTAGGACAATGCCAAGGTCGCCAATGGCGAACTTGATGTGTTCACCACTTTACACCCCTTTCATTTAAAATAGTGATAAGACACCCGTCAGTCACAATATGTGCGTTGGTGACTCATTTTGCGTTACAAGCCAAATGAATCGGCATGCTTATAACTGACGTCTACGTGTTGCTGCTGACAGGAATAGCGCAAAAAGAATTTTTCAGACTTTTTAATGTTCAGTGAAACACAACATAATTTCTTTCTTTGAGTAGTTACCTAAAACAGGGCAGCACTAAGCAACCATATTCGTTGATGCATCTGCGGGATTGATACCAAACTGCCACGTTACAAGTTGGGATGATTCCTTTATTAAGGGTATGCAGACCGGTTTGGGAAGCACAACATCTGTCCCGAACGTCCAGCGATGCGCCCAACTGTGCTTCCACCTCACCGTCAGGTACATCATTCGTGGTGTAAGACAGCATCCAAGGACCGGCAGACTAGATAAAAATCAACTCTGACCTAACAGATAAACAAAGTGTTAATGGAACTTGCATCAAACTCTCGTGCTTCCAAATGGCCACAGTCTACCGTCCTATTGAATATCATATGTTGTCGGAGGAGATGTCCAGAATTTCAACCTTTCTTTTTTCCAAAGATGAGGTAATGCTTTAAACTGAACACTTTCACACAATCTTGCAGAGTGACATACAGCAAGTCCCCGTCCAGCCAGAGACCACGAGGGTCATCCAGTGCGTCATCTATGAGAAGGTCTCGGACATACTGACCCTTCTCTGTCAGCTGAACTACTTTGTGCGAGCCACCATCAACAAGTAAAATATCTCCATTAGAAGACGTCTTCACTCCCTGTGGCCATTGCAGGATCCTCGTCCCCGTCGGGGTGTATTCGAATATCATCTCTCCTTCATCCGTCACAGACACAAGGGACCTTACTTTCCCTTGACTGACGACCAGGTTCCTGTCGCTGGTGACGTGGATACAATCTGGGGAATATATCCTACCGGTGTGGATTGATCTGAGAACATTACCGGACATGTCTATAATGTCAACAGAGTACTGTCCCCCGACAGTGCCCACAACAAGTTGAGATGGAGTGAGACAGGCGAGGGCGTAATATTGCTTACATGTCATAATACACGACTCCACTTCCAGGTTAGGGTTGAAGTGTATGAACACTATTCCATTACTCTGAGGAACACTCACTGCAATTCGACGGTCGCTTATTTTCGCAATCTGCCACGGTCTGTTTTGGAACCTTAGGTGTTGCTGAAATTGCTTGTGTTTCGATATAAAAACTGCAGTGGCGCTTTTGTTGTTGAGGTCCATGACTACCGTTACCTTCATGTTATCAACTGTCAAAACAGTGACGTCTTTCAAATCCGGACTCTCTTTAGACTTCCACCTGTAGTCGATAATGTGATGCAGAGCAGACGACTTCCGGTCGTGTACATCGTTGACCTTTGCCTCCAGCTGAAGTTCTTCAAGGCTCCGTGCTGAGTTTAACAAGCCATGTTCATAGACGACCCTTGCAGGAGTTGGCCCATTGTCCAGGCCGACAATAATCCGTCTGGAAATCGTGTCTGCAGTAAATATGTAAGGCTTAGTTACAAATGATACATATAATCAACTTACTTTTTCATGTGTAAGGTAGTTGGGTAGTTCGGCAAGTGTATATATGTAACATGAAAACGTAGGATGAGAGAGTTACACATTGCGAAAATGATATGTGTAATTTTAGTAATGTCGGTGGTTCATACCTGAACGTTAAAGGGTATATTGGTGGCTTATATCAGAAAAGTAATATAGGCCATAGGCCCAGGTTACACTTTGAGAATTACAGAGTGAGAAAATATGTTATAATGAAGACTGTCTCAGTAACATAGCTTGATATATATATGTTTTTTTATTTTGCTGATAAATGTTTTAAGATGCTTGCATTTGATGATTGCAGAAGCGTATTAAATTTTTGGATTGATGGATATTCATAAAAGTGTAAAGGGATATACAGTCGCCGCAATGCTTGATATTTATTACAAATAAGTAAGAAGTGATATTCATTTTCTATATATGGCAATTTACAGATATTACATATTCTGTCATTTCTAGCCTCACCAATATACCTGCCAGTTTCTATTCGTAGTTTATGAGACCCCGATCTAAACTGAGCAAGAGCACGTCTATGTTTAAAATAGCTAACTATGAAGATATAAGATTCAACACCGAACATAGGTTTAAACAACGAGTATCCAAATGTACTTAATGTTACCCTTCCTGGCGCTTGGCATGACGGGTTGACTCACAGGCAATATACTGCGTGAAGTATTTATTATAAAATGCAGCATGGATCTAAGGCAGGCACACACACGCACGCACGCACGCACGCACGCACGCACGCACGCACGATATTATATGAGTAAACTCATGTTAAACTCGACGTCCAACTTTATTTCACCTCACCCCAATAACCATAACGTGAAAGTCCAGTTTTGTGTAATGCAGCTTCAACCATTTTGTATATAGAGTCAGGTCGAACCGCAGGTATGCATGCAAGGTCATGGAATAACCTTGCGTAGGGAAAAAGTAGGGTGCCTGGTATTAACTTGTCATAAGAGTTGAATATAGCGGTCTATCTGATCCAAATTCTACATTACAATTATCCGTGATAAAGCTTTAAAATATCATTAATGTTAAGCACACGTCACTGACTCACCTAATGTTGCTGGACCAAAATCGTCCAGTAGACCTTGTATGACAAAACTAGGCTTCAGCTGCCGGACCCAGTCACTGACACGCCTGCTGGGAACGCCCACCTCTGACTGGTGCCTACAGGTTGGACATCGGACGTGGAGAGTCTCTGGTTGGGTGTGAATGTATTGAAGCAGACAAGACCTACAGAACGTGTGCTGGCACTGAAGTGTGGCCGGGTCGGTGAACACCCCCATGCAGATTGAACACGTAAGGTGTCTCTCTAACAGTTTGTCAGCCATCTGAAGGTTAAATAGGAACATGTCATATATGACCTTGTGAGTGAGTGAGTTTAGCTTTACGCCGCTTTTAGCAATATTCCACGGAGGGTGAAACCTGAAATGGGCTTCACACACATTGTACCCATCTGGGGAATCGAACCCGCGTGTTCGGCGTGACGAGTGAAGGCTTTAACCACTAGGCTACCCCATCGCCCCATTAATCTCAGAGGACCAGTCGTTCAACTCAAGTGTACTTGAGTATGTGTTATGCATGATCCAAAAACATTTAAATATTTTTTTTAAATTCAATCCATGAGCTAGGTGGCGCTAAATAGCTTCACACAAAGGAACATTATTGATACGGAGGTTGAAAAAAGATTATAAGTCACAATGTCAAATTGAACATATATGAAACGGCGAAATCAGCAGACTGAATTGAAGTACTATGGTTGCATGAATTTCCTTAATTTCGGGCGGTTATATAAAAAGAGTTACGTATTCGTTTTAGAAGAGGCCTTCAGCAACATATGCTGGTCGTATGGGAACTAACGGAAGTATTGGTTGGAGGCGCAAACGCCTCTAACCTTGTTATCAGGATGTGGGTACATGTTATACCGTGATGATCATTAATATTAAACTTTCGTCAGTTGTAAACGATACAGCGTGACCATGTCACGTGCTTGTTCTCAATTGTTCAGTCATGTAGTCAGCTTATTTGTTGTGCACAAGTTGGCACTATTTCAAAACAAGATTAGCCTACTCTGTGTACCATTGTTATGCTTCAACCAAATACCACCCGTGAAGATCCGGGTTGGATTTTATAGTCAGTAACCCATGCTTGTCTCTACCCGTGAATATCCGGGTTAGAATTTATCTCCAGTAACCCGTGCTTGTCTCCGCCCGTGAAGATTCGGGTTAGACTTGATCTTCAGTAACCCATGCTTGTAAGAGGCGACTAACGGGATCGGGTGGTCAGACTCGCTGACTTGGTTGACACATGTCATCGTATCCCAATTGCGACGTTCATGCTGTTGATCACTGGATTGTCTGGTCAAGACTCGATTATTTACAGACCACCGCCATATAGCTGGAATATTGCTGAGTGTGGTGTAAAACTAAACTCACTCACCAAGGTTGCGAATAGCATGCTTTCAACATTTCTAGTCATAGTATACATTCTCAAGCTGATATTTCTTAGAAGCGTTAAATTCATTAATAAATATTTTAACTTTTTCCAAAGATTGTTACATTGCTCGCATTATTATCCCCCCGGCATATCATGCGTGCGTGCGTGCGTGCGTGCGTGTGTGTGTGAGAGAGAGAGAGAAAGAGATAGAGCGATCGGTGTGTCCCTCTGTCCGTCTGTGTGTAATAGAATTGTTTCCGGAGCAGAACACCAAAACCATCCGTTATATCTTTTTGAAACTTTCCATGTGCATTACCGAAGCACTGAAGTGGGGCCTTTTGATATTTTCAGATTACAGATTGTTGCTTTGTTTTCGTTTCCATGGAAACGTGTTGGATTTCGACTCAGTACAGTGAATTTCTTTGAAGGGGTAGGGATTCACATGACTTTTGCAAATAAGCAGGGGGAATATGTCATCTTTTGATGACTCGTTACCATCCGCCATAAAATAGTAGCAATACATAGGACCATGTTTCCTGCTTCCGTCACAAGTACTTCATTTCCAGTTATGCTTAGACATGACAAGACCTTTGATATGAAATGTCCTATACTGGAGATGAGAGGACCGTATTTGCGATGCGAGTACAGATCTCTATTAGAAGCAAGTCTCTAATACACAGAGGTATGGTCATCGTGATGCTCTTGAAACCAGCTTCATCCCTCAAATCATCTCGCGCCCTTCTCAATAAATGTCTTAATTTACTCAGGTTCCTCCAACGTTGTTTTTTAAAGGCTTTTTTTTTGTTTACAGACAACCGTCATAAAGCTGGAACTCTGCTTACTAAGACTTAACATGACATTTCGGAAAGAAAATATTCCACCTACCTTATAATATCAAATTGATCCACTCCGCATTATCCTATGAACAACCGCTTTCTGAATCTTATCGCGTCAGCTTCAGCTTCGATTAGTAATACAGGAAAATATGGACAATAGGTTCAATAGCTTGACCAGCGCGTGTTTAATTTTACACGTGACCATGTGACTTGGGTCAAGGGTCAAAGAGGAGGTTTCCGGCTGCTTGGTTCATTCATTGTCAGTTGTGTCCTGGACCGATACAATAAGTGGATGCTCGAAAGATCAAACTCACCATATGCTTGAATGTGTAATGTCAAGGAAACTGCTCGGCTTTCACAGTCCTTTTCATGTCACCAAGATATAAGCCACGTTCATCTGTCTAGATGTGCAGTATCTTTACAAACCTTGTCATGCTGAGAAGAACCTACAAGAACTTTCCACGGAATATCTTTGTCACATATGTATTCTATAAAGACAATATCTGTCACAGGGGTATTCCAGAGAAAGTCCCCAGTTAGAGATCAGTTTTACTGTTGAACATAACCTACATCAGTAACAGAGGTATTCCAGAGAAAGTCCCCAGATACAGATCTATTTTACTGTTAAACATAAGCTACATCAGTAACAGGGGTATTCCAGAGAAAGTCCCCAGATACAGATCTATTTTACTGTTGAACATAAGCTACATCAGTAACAGATGTATTCCAGAGAAAGTCCCTATGTTACAGATCTATTTTACTGTTAAACATAAGCTACATCAGTAACAGGGGTATTCCAGAGAAAGTCCCCAGATACAGATCTATTTTACTGTTAAACATAAGCTACATCAGTAACAGATGTATTCCAGAGAAAGTCCCCAGATACAGATCTATTTTACTGTTGAACATATGCATCAGTAACAGATGTATTCCAGAGAAAGTCCCTATGTTACAGATCTATTTTACTGTTGAACATAACCTACATCAGTAACAGAGGTATTCCAGAGAAAGTCCCTATGTTACAGATCTATTTTACTGTTAAACATAACCTACATCAGTAACAGGGGTATTCCAGAGAAAGTCCCGAGTTAGAGATCAGTTTTACTGTTGAACATAACCTACATCAGTAACAGATGTATTCCAGAGAAAGTCCCGAGTTAGATATCTATTTTACTGTTGAACATAACCTACATCAGTAACAGGGGTATTCCAGAGAAAGTCCCGAGTTAGAGATCAGTTTTACTGTTGAACATAAGCTACATCAGTAACAGGAGTATTCCAGAGAAAGTCCCGAGTTAGAGATCTATTTTACTGTTGAACATAAGCTACATCAGTAACAGGGGTATTCCAGAGAAAGTCCCGAGTTAGAGATCAGTTTTACTGTTGAACATAACCTACATCAGTAACAGAGGTATTCCAGAGAAAGTCCCCAGATACAGATCTATTTTACTGTTGAACATAAGCTACATCAGTAACAGGGGTATTCCAGAGAAAGTCCCGAGTTAGAGATCAGTTTTACTGTTGAACATAACCTACATCAGTAACAGAGGTATTCCAGAGAAAGTCCCCAGATACAGATCTATTTTACTGTTAAACATAAGCTACATCAGTAACAGGGGTATTCCAGAGAAAGTCCCGAGTTAGAGATCAGTTTTACTGTTGAACATAACCTACATCAGTAACAGGGGTATTCCAGAGAAAGTCCCGAGTTAGAGATCTATTTTACTGTTGAACATAAGCTACATCAGTAACAGGGGTATTCCAGAGAAAGTCCCGAGTTAGAGATCTATTTTACTGTTGAACATAACCTACATCAGTAACAGGGGTATTCCAGAGAAAGTCCCGAGTTAGAGATCAGTTTTACTGTTGAACATAACCTACATCAGTAACAGATGTATTCCAGAGAAAGTCCCGAGTTAGAGATCAGTTTTACTGTTGAACATAACCTACATCAGTAACAGAGGTATTCCAGAGAAAGTCCCTATGTTACAGATCTATTTTACTGTTGAACATAAGCTACATCAGTAACAGGGGGTATTCCAGAGAAAGTCCTGAGTTAGAGATCTATTTTACTGTTGAACATAAGCTACATCAGTAACAGGGGTATTCCAGAGAAAGTCCCGAGTTAGAGATCTATTTTACTGTTGAACATAAGCTACATCAGTAACAGGGGTATTCCAGAGAAAGTCACGAGTTAGAGATCAGTTTTACTGTTGAACATAACCTACATCAGTAACAGGGGTATTCCAGAGAAAGTCCCGAGTTAGAGATCAGTTTTACTGTTGAACATAACCTACATCAGTAACAGAGGTATTCCAGAGAAAGTCCCCAGATACAGAGCTATTTTACTGTTGAACATAAGCTACATCAGTAACAGGGGTATTCCAGAGAAAGTCCCGAGTTAGAGATCTATTTTACTGTTGAACATAACCTACATCAGTAACAGGGGTATTCCAGAGAAAGTCCCGAGTTAGAGATCAGTTTTACTGTTGAACATAACCTACATCAGTAACAGATGTATTCCAGAGAAAGTCCTGAGTTAGAGATCAGTTTTACTGTTGAACATAACCTACATCAGTAACAGAGGTATTCCAGAGAAAGTCCCTATGTTACAGATCTATTTTACTGTTGAACATAAGCTACATCAGTAACAGGGGTATTCCAGAGAAAGTCCCGAGTTAGAGATCTATTTTACTGTTGAACATAAGCTACATCAGTAACAGGGGTATTCCAGAGAAAGTCCCGAGTTAGAGATCTATTTTACTGTTGAACATAACCTACATCAGTAACAGGGGTATTCCAGAGAAAGTCCCGAGTTAGAGATCAGTTTTACTGTTGAACATAACCTACATCAGTAACAGATGTATTCCAGAGAAAGTCCCGAGTTAGAGATCAGTTTTACTGTTGAACATAACCTACATCAGTAACAGAGGTATTCCAGAGAAAGTCCCTATGTTACAGATCTATTTTACTGTTGAACATAAGCTACATCAGTAACAGGGGTATTCCAGAGAAAGTCCCGAGTTAGAGATCTATTTTACTGTTGAACATAAGCTACATCAGTAACAGGGGTATTCCAGAGAAAGTCCCGAGTTAGAGATCTATTTTACTGTTGAACATAAGCTACATCAGTAACAGGGGTATTCCAGAGAAAGTCACGAGTTAGAGATCAGTTTTACTGTTGAACATAACCTACATCAGTAACAGGGGTATTCCAGAGAAAGTCCCGAGTTAGAGATCAGTTTTACTGTTGAACATAACCTACATCAGTAACAGAGGTATTCCAGAGAAAGTCCCCAGATACAGATCTATTTTACTGTTGAACATAAGCTACATCAGTAACAGGGGTATTCCAGAGAAAGTCCCGAGTTAGAGATCAGTTTTACTGTTGAACATAACCTACATCAGTAACAGAGGTATTCCAGAGAAAGTCCCCAGATACAGATCTATTTTACTGTTAAACATAAGCTACATCAGTAACAGGGTATTCCAGAGAAAGTCCCGAGTTAGAGATCAGTTTTACTGTTGAACATAACCTACATCAGTAACAGGGGTATTCCAGAGAAAGTCCCGAGTTAGAGATCTATTTTACTGTTGAACATAAGCTACATCAGTAACAGGGTATTCCAGAGAAAGTCCTGAGTTAGAGATCTATTTTACTGTTGAACATAACCTACATCAGTAACAGGGGTATTCCAGAGAAAGTCCCGAGTTAGAGATCAGTTTTACTGTTGAACATAACCTACATCAGTAACAGATGTATTCCAGAGAAAGTCCCGAGTTAGAGATCAGTTTTACTGTTGAACATAACCTACATCAGTAACAGAGGTATTCCAGAGAAAGTCCCTATGTTACAGATCTATTTTACTGTTGAACATAAGCTACATCAGTAACAGGGTATTCCAGAGAAAGTCCCGAGTTAGAGATCTATTTTACTGTTGAACATAAGCTACATCAGTAACAGGGTATTCCAGAGAAAGTCCTGAGTTAGAGATCTATTTTACTGTTGAACATAAGCTACATCAGTAACAGGGGTATTCCAGAGAAAGTCACGAGTTAGAGATCAGTTTTACTGTTGAACATAACCTACATCAGTAACAGGGGTATTCCAGAGAAAGTCCTGAGTTAGAGATCAGTTTTACTGTTGAACATAACCTACATCAGTAACAGAGGTATTCCAGAGAAAGTCCCCAGATACAGAGCTATTTTACTGTTGAACATAAGCTACATCAGTAACAGGGGTATTCCAGAGAAAGTCCCGAGTTAGAGATCTATTTTACTGTTGAACATAACCTACATCAGTAACAGGGGTATTCCAGAGAAAGTCCCGAGTTAGAGATCAGTTTTACTGTTGAACATAACCTACATCAGTAACAGATGTATTCCAGAGAAAGTCCCGAGTTAGAGATCAGTTTTACTGTTGAACATAACCTACATCAGTAACAGAGGTATTCCAGAGAAAGTCCCTATGTTACAGATCTATTTTACTGTTGAACATAAGCTACATCAGTAACAGGGTATTCCAGAAAGTCCCGAGTTAGAGATCTATTTTACTGTTGAACATAAGCTACATCAGTAACAGGGGTATTCCAGAGAAAGTCCCGAGTTAGAGATCTATTTTACTGTTGAACATAAGCTACATCAGTAACAGGGAGTATTCCAGAGAAAGTCACAGAGTTAGAGATCAGTTTTACTGTTGAACATAACCTACATCAGTAACAGGGGTATTCCAGAGAAAGTCCCGAGTTAGAGATCAGTTTTACTGTTGAACATAACCTACATCAGTAACAGATGTATTCCAGAGAAAGTCCCCAGATACAGATCTATTTTACTGTTAAACATAAGCTACATCAGTAACAGGGGTATTCCAGAGAAAGTCCCGAGTTAGAGATCAGTTTTACTGTTGAACATAACCTACATCAGTAACAGAGGTATTCCAGAGAAAGTCCCCAGATACAGATCTATTTTACTGTTGAACATAAGCTACATCAGTAACAGGGGTATTCCAGAGAAAGTCCCGAGTTAGAGATCTATTTTACTGTTGAACATAACCTACATCAGTAACAGGGGTATTCCAGAGAAAGTCCCGAGTTAGAGATCTATTTTACTGTTGAACATAAGCTACATCAGTAACAGGGGTATTCCAGAGAAAGTCCCGAGTTAGAGATCTATTTTACTGTTGAACATAACCTACATCAGTAACAGGGGTATTCCAGAGAAAGTCCCGAGTTAGAGATCAGTTTTACTGTTGAACATAACCTACATCAGTAACAGAGGTATTCCAGAGAAAGTCCCCAGATACAGATCTATTTTACTGTTGAACATAAGCTACATCAGTAACAGGGTATTCCAGAGAAAGTCCCGAGTTAGAGATCAGTTTTACTGTTGAACATAACCTACATCAGTAACAGAGGTATTCCAGAGAAAGTCCCCAGATACAGATCTTTTTACTGTTAAACATAAGCTACATCAGTAACAGGGGTATTCCAGAGAAAGTCCCGAGTTAGAGATCTATTTTACTGTTGAACATAAGCTACATCAGTAACAGGGGTATTCCAGAGAAAGTCCCGAGTTAGAGATCAGTTTTACTGTTGAACATAACCTACATCAGTAACAGAGGTATTCCAGAGAAAGTCCCCAGATACAGATCTATTTTACTGTTAAACATAAGCTACATCAGTAACAGGGGTATTCCAGAGAAAGTCCCGAGTTAGAGATCTATTTTACTGTTGAACATAACCTACATCAGTAACAGATGTATTCCAGAGAAAATCCCGAGTTAGAGATCTATTTTACTGTTAAACATAACCTACATCAGTAACAGGAGTATTCCAGAGAAAGTCCCCAGTTAGAGATCTATTTTACTGTTGAACATAACCTACATCAGTAACAGATGTATTCCAGAGAAAGTCCCGAGTTAGAGATCTATTTTACTGTTGAACATAACCTACATCAGTAACAGGAGTATTCCAGAGAACGTCCCTATGTTACAGATCTATTTTACTGTTAAACATAACCTACATCAGTAACAGGGGTATTCCAGAGAAAGTCCCAGATACAGATCTATTTTACTGTTAAACATAACCTACATCAGTAACAGGGGTATTCCAGAGAAAGTCCCGAGTTAGAGATCAGTTTTACTGTTGAACATAACCTACATCAGTAACAGGGGTATTCCAGAGAAAGTCCCTATGTTACAGATCTATTTTACTGTTAAACATAACCTACATCAGTAACAGGGGTATTCCAGAGAAAGTCCCGAGTTAGAGATCTATTTTACTGTTGAACATAACCTACATCAGTAACAGGGGTATTCCAGAGAAAGTCCCTATGTTACAGATCTATTTTACTGTTAAACATAACCTACATCAGTAACAGTGGTATTCCAGAAAAAAGTCTTAAGTTAGAGATCTATTTGCTGTTAAACATAACCTACATCTGTGACAGGTGTTTTCTAAAAGAAAGTACCTTGTAACACATCTTTTTTGTTGTTGAACGAAATCTACATAACAAACATTTCAATAAAAAGGATTAACTTAACGTCCCTCAACAAATATTTGCGTAATGGATTTACACATGGCTCCGATGTTTTCTATCACATTGTAAAATCTTGCATTGTAAAGCAGTGACCGAGCCGGTACAACAGTGGGTTGTCTGTTATCGGACTCGTATATAAACAGTCCAAACAACATATCAAAAGTTTGTAAAATATGTTAACCTTCTTTAAACATTGTACCTTCTAAAGTACCGTTCCCCCTTCAACCAATGTTTGGAAACAGACCATAACCTCATTCATTTGACAAAGTTTCAAATCTTGCCTCCGATTTTAGAAAATTGAAGTTTGAAACACCTTGTGCAAACTTTATCTTCAAAGATAAAAAATAATTAGAGGTTACATATGCTATGTTTGGAAATAGACCATAACCTCATTCATTTGACAAAGTTTGAAATCTTGCGTCCGATTTTAGAAATTGAAGTTTGAAACACCTTGTGCAAACTTTATCTTCAAAGATAAAAAATAATAATTAGAGGTTACATATGCTATGTTTGGAAATACACCTTAACATATGTTACATTAGACCACGTATAAACTGCGGCGCCTAAGACGACTGGGACATCCGTGTTTCAAATTCACTGTACTCAATAGTAATATATATCCCCTTTAATATATATCCTCCTTTAATACAGGGGCATGTGACGCAAACATAGCAGCTACAAGATATATGGTCCCAACCGGTGCCAAACCTATATAGCGCCTATAGTACTGACACTGGAGGGAACCAAATGCCGTTTGCTATGTTTTGCCTCACAAGTCATTGGTGAAAAGTACAAGCAACCACGCGAATACAAATGCATTCACGTCGCTGTGTTGTCTATCGAGTGGTCTCCGAAAACATATAATTATGATGACACCGACACCCACACCCACACACGCATGCACACATACATAGCGCCAATATCCGTAAACAGCTCAAAGGCGCTTTGGCTCTAAGATGGTATTGATATCACATAGAGTTCTGATGTTTCAGTCTTTAGATTTCGTTTAAAAACAGTTAAATCTGGTTGTGTTCTGAGGTAAGATGGAAGATTGTTCTAGAGATGAGGGCCGGCCGTCTCGAGTGAGCTGTCACCATATGTTTTTGTCCTAGTCACAGGATTTGTCAAAAGGCACGGATCATTTGAAGGGAACATGCAGTATAACGGGTATAACGGGGTTCAGGGATTACCAGACAGACTAGTCGCTATATATAAGTCCAAACTGAATCCATTCCGCCTTACCTTCCAGTGCACTCCTCCTCGGATGACCGTCCAGTACGAATGAGTATAGGGTATCACAGAACTTATTGCGCCTGTAATATGAGTAATAGGGACACAGTTGCACGCTGAGAACTGAAACCGGAGCTTACAGCACGGGATTTGGAGACACAAAACAAATATATGTGTAAGCATCGTATATTTGTAACTTTATCAACTCGTGTTGATATAATTGATATCAGTAGACACTTGGGTAAGATTACCTATTTCCACTAATTCTTGCAATATGCACGTATAATTAGACGTATCCATGTGAAACGATGAAAGAAACAGACCTATTTTCTCATAAATATTTTACACTCTACATACATCATAGAACCGAATATAACCATACAGAAAAATATATTTGCTGATACTTTTGTTTTCAATTTATGCAAAATGTAATCATGTGAATCGAAATAAAATTAGGTTTGTTTTTTTTATTAGTCAACCCCCGAAACAAGTATGGTACAGTGCAATCAAGAGCTGTGTCTCGATCGAGGCTTGGACACCACCCCTTAACATTGGGCTGATGCATATATGTAAACTCCCATCGCTATATGGCTGAAATAACGTTCCATTTAAATCGAAACATTGAAAGTCTTTGCCCTGACTTTACTGAAATACACAAACGATCTTCAGTACAAATTACATCTCATTTCTTCGATTATCATATCTTAGATTGGTTGTTTGTGTTAAATCATCTATCATCAAAAATACAAACACAATATGGGTACTTCTCGTGATAAGCATTGTGTTAACTGGAAAACGAAACCTTCCGGCAGGAAGTCATAGAAGCGGGAATAAAACCCATAATCATATGTTTCTGGAGTATCCATGCAACTCAGCACAGCCAATGTTGCGTCGCCATAGACTACATATGCCACTCCATGCGTGCAATAGTTTTATGCACGTCGTAATATATATATTACCACAAAACGTTAATGAAACAAGCAAACTTGTAACTTTTGATGTAAAAAAATTGTATTCAAATATCCCACATAGCCTAGGAATTAAAGCGTTGGATTATTGGTTAAACCGTTGTGAAGAACACATACCTGAGCGAATTTCAAAATCATTTATTTTGGAAAGCGTTGAATTCATCTGAAAAAACAATATTTTCTTTTTTGACGATAAGTACTATAAACAGATTAAAGGAACAGCCATGGGAACCAAAATGGCGCCGACTTATGCGACGCTTGTCTTAGGATATCTGGAGGAAAAGTTCAAGCATAAAATCAGTCAAATTCTTGGAGAGGATGTTGCCCATTATTTCATGGAAAATTGGAAAAGATTTCTAGACGACTGCTTCATAATTTGGCCATTTTCTGAGGAGAAACTAAATACATTTTACGAACTATTAAATAGCATGGACGAAAATCTTGTTTTCACTATGGAGGCAGATGAAACTAAAACAGCTTTCTTAGACACAATGGTCATCAAATCGGGGCGGAAATTGGACACAGATATCTTCTACAAACCTACAGATACGAAACAATATTTAAACTTCAAATCTTGTCATCCGAGCCACACCAAAAGAAGTCTTCCATATAACCTGGCACGAAGAATATGTACAGTTTTACTATTACGGGAATATCCAAAATCTCTTGTTGAAGACGGAATATATAAAGCTTTACAGGTTAATAGAGACGATCTTTTGACAGGAACGATGAAACAAACCAATGAGGAAAAAGTAATTGCTTTTGTATCTACTTATAATCCGTTGAACCCAAATGTGTTCCAGAACATAAAAACAAATATGTGCATCTTAGAACAAGATGAAAAACTGAAATCAATGCTGAAATCTGGAAAAATAATAAATAGCAAAAGACAAAATCAGAATCTTAAAAAGATACTAACAAAAGCCAAATTTATTTTAAAGAAACAGCATTTATCAAATCCTACTGTGTCTAGATGCAACAGAGGTAACTGTGGAACGTGTCGACATATTGTTGAAGGACTCTCTGTAACTTTCACGAGTCACGGAGAATTCTATGTAAAACAGAATTTTGACTGCTCTTGCAAAAACATAATATATGTCATAACATGCACAGGCTGTAATGAACAGTATATTAGTCAAACAGAAAATTTAAGAGCCCGAGTTCGTGTCCACAAACAACAAATAAAGTGTCCTGAAACCCGATGTATCCCACTGAGTGAACATCTAGATGTCAAAAGATGCAAAAGGAAAGGATGTTAAATTTACAATATTTCCTTTTATCAAGTTCAAAATTCGGACAAAGTAAAACGAATTTTAAAAGAACACTACTTCATAGACAAGTACAAACCAATGTTTTAAACCATTGCAATATGTGACCTTGTCGCTCTAGAATGTTGTCCCTATTATGACGTCACAATATATATGTAATGACGTCATACTGTAACCGCTACAATCTCCCTGAAGAGTAAAGAACGAAACATGTTGGAGAAAACGGCATTCTGTTTTTATTTATCTATGCAATTATGTCTATATATATATATATATATTTATATATATATATATATATATAGACAAAGACCTTTAGGCGACATTTGTGCGACTTTAGGCGACAGCTGTCGCCCTAAGGATATATTTCTGTCGCCTAAATATCTGCATGTCACAACTATGTTCATTTTCCTTAATAACTATCCCAAACTAGATGGTTGGATAGAGGGTCGTCTCAGGACCTTCGGGTGTGCTTCTTTGTATTTTTATAAAATTTCAGTGCTGTTATTGAAAAACAAAAATATCGTGTATATAACGTCTGCGACCTTTCGGCGACACGGGGTTTTCTATAAAATTCTCTAACACGTGGATATATGTTCAGAAATAAACAATGGAGAAATTATTGTCTAAATATATACTCTTAGGTTTTGTACAGTTTTTCAAATATACACATCGTTAAGTGTTCAGCATAACATCACTGTTTCGCTCGCAGTACCTTTCGGCGATTTGCCTTCACGCTCCTGTGCGTCAAAAACGTGAAAGTTCAAAAGCGGCAACGTCGAAATGAACACTTAGCTAATAATTCAATAATGTCTGTAGATATTGTGGGAGCTGACAGACAAGACTAATGTGCCACCAAGAACACGTTTAAATACTTAAAACATTCGATACTTCAATCAAAATAACGATGTAATAATCTGTAAATAAATTGAATTCATGTTTCACACGAAGGCCCGTTCACGTTTTGTGTCAAATCGGATCCCCTTTGCTACAGTTTTCGCGCACTACACGAGGTGACTTGGCAGCACAAAGCATTGGGAAATGCATGGTATGTATCGTAATCGGAGTATTTTGTTGAAAAAAGCAGCATGTACAATTGTTTCAAAGGCGATGCCTGTCCCATGACACAATCTATTTCAAGATTTCTCAACTGGAAGAAACTGTTTGCTAGTAACTTGATCGCGATTGTGACGTTTCGTATCATGTTGTTTCTTGATCCTCACCTAGGGCTAGACTATCGCTTAGTCTCTGAATATAATTTTTTTTATATCAACAAACAAACGCATTATAAATTGAAAAGGAGCCCCGGGGAAACCAGAACTTGAGAAAATCTAGACTTACTTCATTTAGAGCCTTAGCATTGCAGAAAGGGCAAGGCAGTAGGGAAAATAATATTGTGGTTCAGGGGACTGTGACACAGACTACAGGGTACAGTAGTTGGCTATAAGTGAGTCATCACTAGTGAAATTTCCATAGACTTACATGTTAATTAACTGTTGCAAGAATAATTTTCATAAATTGAGTAGAAGTTTGCAAACATCTTGGAAATCATCTTCAGCTACGTGTACATAATTTTCTTTCATCTTTCCATTGATTAGTTATCGAATGACACCTGATTAAGCACCATACATACAACTTAGTTTTTATCTATCCCGTAGACATGTTAAACCTGATTGGTATGTCTAATATATGTTGTTTAAGAATGTGCAGTTTTCTTAATAATCCTCGGAAAATTGAAAGGAAATTATGTGTACAAAGCTGAGATGATTTCCCAGCTGGTAGATGAGTGCTGAAAGCAAATCCACCGAAACTAAATGTATGAAAATTATTCTTGCAAGAGTTAATTAACATGAAAGTCTATGTGAATTTCACTATTTATGACTCACTTATGGCCAACTACTGTAGATCCACAACCGAAAGAGCTAATCACAGCTGTATGATTTTATGTTCACTCAGTGGGTGAAATTGACCTTTTACTTTTAGGCTTAGAGTTCGGTGCGGCAAAAACAACCCAAAACATCTCTCATTCTGACGCCTGATATTCAGGGTATCAGACTGACTTGCACTGATATATTGTTTTCTTATTTTAAATAGATATCTACCAACTAATAGATAAATAAACCCCCCAAAACAGTCAATAACCATTACTAATTTCAGGAACTAACCAAATCTGTAAGACTTGAATTCAGTAAAATTACTTATAGGCCAAATGTAGAGATAGCATAACACATTACAATCGGTTTTATCACCCACACTGCATATTCTGACCATGGGGTAATACTCATTGACATGGGTTTGCTCAAATAATGAGCTGATAGTGCAGTGTTGAGGAAGACTTGTAGTTATAGTTTCATAATGGCACTCTCCATTGTTTCTCTTTCCTGTTTCCTCTGATAGCTGAACTACACATTTTTATATAAGCTACACATTTCCTAAATTGTTCATGCAAAGGAAATACGCATTTGCTCTCTTGACCATAATATGTTTCAGTTACATTATTTATATCAAGAGTTTCTAACTTTCAAATATAGCTTTTTGTACTCCTGCTTTGAACTCTGCCCCTTTGGGTGTTTATGTGCAGTGTATCTCCTCCACTGGTCTATCAGAGTGAAAATATCAGTGTAAAGTGATGAAATGTATATGTTGCACCATTTTCATGCTAATAATAATAATTATCTCCGTATGAGTACAAAGATTGTAGCCTACCACCTTATTACCTACAAGTAAAGGCTGTCTGGGTCAAACCTTGTTTGTTTTTAGTAACCTGATACATTTTGTTGCTGATTATGACAAGAATTTCTAATTACCAGAAAACACATTTACTGATGCTGAGAGAT